GAAAAAAAAAGAAATTAGGGTTCTTGTGTTGTATCCTATAGCTTACGTATATCCAGTGTTATTGCTTTGGAAATCATTCCAGCTTGCATTACTCTGTTCTTCATTCATTTTATTCTTTTCGATTTTCCATTCTTTTTCCGTCAGTTCTGCAGTCATTTCATTGAGTTTAATATTCTTGAAGAAATGTAATCATTTGGAGCGCTCAAAAATTAACTTAAATGGGTAAAAAACTTGAAATTTTTTGGTCGCATTTTTTTGTTCGGATTTTTCCATTTTTTCGCTCTAAGTTAGATTTAAGTATAAATAAGTTTCTGTGGTAAAGAATTGGGATTATTTTTATGTACTGCATTTATAGTCGACCTTTTTTTTATTTTGAACCACAGCTCATTTCGTAGGTTTTTTAGATCGAAAACTTATTTAATCGATTTTAAGGACTGGAAACCACCAACAGCAGCGTCCTCGAGTCCTCCAGCAGTGGAGCGTCAAGATTCGCTGTCCGCAATTCCGCCACGGAAAAGGTACTTTTTAATTTTTTTGTGGGGGGGCTTTTATATACGCCTCCGTACGAATCAGCTTTCCTCAGAAATTTACTTCAATTTGTGATTATATGGTTGAATTTCGATTTCAGAAGTTCGCTCAAAGAAACGCAACAAGATTCAACTGGATCACTTGAACTTCCAGCACATCTCAACACCAAACAGAGGGACAGTGTCACTCCTGTTGGTGACTTGTGAGTGACCATTGACATTTTTCTTTCCTTGCTTTGACACTACTACTTGGATCATTTGCATGCCCTATTCGTGGAAATGTAGTCACCACGCGACACCGCGCACTTTTCAGTTCATATTTGTGCGTAAAACTCGTGCAGATTGCCCTGCGGTTTCTGTCGCGTGCGTCTGGTGTACGGACAACTTGAACTCAGCCCTTTAAACCGCCTCGATTTGACGCTCTCGCCTGCGCTCTCTCGCTTAACCAGCGGCTTATGATTACTGTGATCTGATGTATTCAAACTTTGCCACAATATAATTGGCTCACCACTACGGAGTCCCTCCTCCCTTCAAGGCTTAGTCCTAGAGCTCTCACCTTCTTGGTTGGGATTTGAAGCCGAGCCAGGCACCGTTCTCTAATCGTCTGTGCTCTGGCCTTTCTCGGCAGAGAACATAGGGGAAAGTTCAAGTAGTCACGTAATCCTTTTGCTGCACGCTTTCATTGTTTGGTCAGCTTCATTTACGTAATAACAGTGTGATATCGCCCACCCTCTTCCTACGAGCCATTGGTCTAACTGAATGTCTGGAACTAGGGAGGTTTTTGAGAGGATCGTGAATGGGGTGGGCCGAAGGTGACGACGAGAATTGGTTATGTCGGAATTGAGGCCTTGTCGTGAGCAGGCGGACCGTTTTGACGGATTTTTAAGACCTCTTTGGCGAAAATTTCGCGAAAGGAGCAGGAATGGAAAATTGGAACATATGTTTGCCGTTCCATAAGGCATATTCACCTTCCGCTCGACGGCTAGTTTGGAGGGGATGGGAGGAAGTGAAGTGTGCCGACCGGTCCCAGGATCAAATCCTGCAGCACGATAGAAAGGGTGATGGTTGCGGATGCTAGGGATTTGAGGGTGACAGCTTTCACGTTTTTGGTTTGAGGGGGTCGCATTGAGACTGGGGGTCCTGAACTTTTTGAAATCGCCAAACGCCACGGTTGACCTTGCCTCAAGTCCTCCCCTCTTGGATCCTTATAGGGGGAGTTAATGAAGTTAGGTCTTCCTTCGTGCCAAAGAACCTGCATTCTTCAAAAAAAAACGTATTACATATATTTTCAAGAGATTCCCGAGATCTCCTTATCTTCTGTTTTATAGTTTGTTTGGTTCACTTGTATTTAGCGTGATCAAGAGAATGTCGTAGTGCACCGAATGAATGAATTTTGGGAGTCTTTTCTTGCAGAGAACCGGGCGATCCGAAACTTACGGCTCCAGCATGGGCAGACTTTGAGACCTCGGCTCCAGAGCTACCACCCAGTGAAAGCGGATTCTTCAGCAATAAAGTGAGTATTCCATATGAAGAAAAAACCATAATTGATGACCGTGATCAAGCCACGGGTCATTTCTGGAAATTTCGAGCTCCATTGTGGCGATGTTGATGTTTCATTTCCTTCCATACATAACTAGTTACACCTAGCTGACTTCATAGACAGGGAAGGTGGTAAAGGTTGATGCTAGCTCTGATAGAGCTGCTACGCTTCTTGCGTGTCTGCAGTCGCTTTTGTGCCATAGAGAAACATGACCAGTTGAGCTTAAGGTGGAGTTTATGAATGGAAGGTAGCCCTTTAAAATTAAGGTAGAGGTGGTCAGTGGTGCGGGATGAAGAAAAAACCATGAGAAACGGCCCAGAACCCGAGAAATGGGACCCCTTCCTTGCCCGTTGATTTCCGCATTGATGCGACTCTCATCGTGCTGCCCTCTTCAACGCTAACGCTCTCTCTGCTAACGGCTAGAGGCCTGCCGCGAGTGGTGGGCGTACCGCACTAACAGTGCCGCTGGAAGGCCATGCTAGGAGGCCGGGGCATGTCCATCGCTGTGAAATGCGTATCGGTGCGCACTCATTTGGGGGTTCCGCCTATCTTTCCACTAGGTACGCTTTCCCTTCTTCGATCTTCGACCTCAGCGTGGGATCCTCTTTTAATAACAGCAAGGCTGGCTTAACCACTCTCTAGAGAGGGCGAAATTCAGACCGGCAATGTTCGATTGAGCAGGTTATGCTCACATACTCTTTTGAAGTTAGTTTTCATTTGTATATCGTTTTCTACGAAGGACAGCAACAATGCAAATGATCTATCGACTCAGGACAGCTATGATCCGTTCATCATACCAACACAGTTCAAGCCGGAACGAGATCCGTTTGCTCCTCCTGACAAGGACCTCATCGACGAAGTATGTTGCAGTCTGACATAACCGAAATTCTCTCTGGATATCATTTTCTTTCTTTGAAGGACTACGATCCATTTGCTGTACAACCGGTGGAGGACATTGTGGCCGCAGCAAAAGCCAAGGCAGAAGAAGCCCGATTGGCCAAGGAGGCTCATGACGACGTCGACTTCTTTGGAGGGACACGGTACGTTCCCCATCTATATTCATTTAGCACACATTGTCGGCAGCTGACAGCTCACTTATTGAACCGCTTTACTACTTGCGAGTTTTGTTCTCCTACTACTTAGCTCG